AAAAAAAAATTTTTTTTTAAAAAAGGTTGAAAAAAATTTTTTTTTTTTTTATCATTTATTTATAAAAAAAGTAATTTTTTTACGTTGATCTAATAAATTTCCGGAAATTGTTAATGTGTGACGATACGTTATAAGCTGTATTGTATTAAATTAGTGGAAAAAAAAAAAAAAACTTGTTGTTCATTACACAGATAAACCTTGTTTACCCTAATCGACCAACCAAAGAGATCGTAAATCTTTGACTTTTCCATTATTCATTGTGAATTTTGTCATTATGCTTTAATGATTTATTTAAAAAATGTTTATTTTGACACACTTATAAAAAAAAAACACATTACAGTACATTTACAGTAAAAAAAGAAAATAAATTTATATTTTAAAATAAAAATAAAAAATATTTTTTTTCTTCATAACAATAAAAAAAATCATATGAATATATATATAAATACTTATTTATTCTCCCGCCAAATTTAAAAGATTAAAGTTTCATATCGCATAACTCCGCAAAAAAAATGATCATTTCCTAATGAATGTAAATCATTAATATTTTAATAGTTTGATTGACATTATTTCCTGATACTTCCCCGAATTTATAATCATAAAATTCCATGTATAAGAAACCAGGTGTTAATTAAGAATAATTATTATGAAACCCTTGAATGATTATCAAATTTCATTGTATTGTTTTTAAGGGGTCTTATTCAAGGACCTGAAATTTTCAGAATAAAGAATTTACCTTCTTAGATTACCCATAAATAATTATATCAGTTATACCTGGGTACTATATAAATAGGGTTAGATGGCGTTTTATACTGTATTATTTTTAATAAAACTGTATATGGTAATAATCATGTTTAAAAAATATTGGTTATGAGAATATCACCTCATAACAAAACAATTGACCTAGATTTGTAAAAACTCTGGGAATTTTTTAATTTTTTTTTTTTTAATTATTGATATTTTTTGTGCGCAACACGATGTGACATTTCATTTGTGCACAGACCAAATTAATTGTAGAATAACAGGAGGATGATGATGATATAAATGACGTTAATGCTGCTGCGTTTATTAGTTCATTAAAGATTCCATGCTTTATGCCAAAGATGCAACTAAAAACTTCATATGGCATTCATCTACTGTATCAATGAGCGGAAAGTCGGAAACAAAGAAATTAGCAATAAATAAATTGATGAGATTTTTAATCCTAATTCGCCTATTTCGGCGTTTATTTAATTATCCATTAATGGAAAAAAATTACAATGAGTTTCATGTAGAGAACAATGTAAGAGTGCATTACTATGCAGTTATTGCAGTATTATACTCCCAATCAGACGTCAAATGAACCATTGTTATTTAATCTTTTTTTCTCTTTAAATATCGAGATTGGGAGTTTGTGTAACTTCTATCAAGATAATTTTAGGCAAACCCGTTGAATAATATTGAATCATGTGATTTAGTTTGCCCAAAAAAAACTATATAAAATAATACTGTATTCATAGATTATGATAAAATTATTAGTGTCATTAGTAAGTGACCTTTCCAAAACATGCACCTTCGTATGTATTATAGTCTTCCGACTCCTCCTCACTCATATCCAGTGATCAGCGGTGTAACGGTGTACCTTATAACTTATACTTTAATTTATACGAAGTTTAACTTATACATGGTATAATTTATACCGAAATTACGAACAATATATATAGAATGGGCGAACGGTGAGGATTAAAAACTAGCCGGTAAATTTTCTTCAGTGCTTTAGCTTTAGAAGAAAGTTCTGAAAGGATCTGCCGAGCTTGAGTAAGATGCCGTTCAGCTTTAAGTAATTTATAACAATGGCATTATATCTGTCTTGCCATTCACAAATTTCATTCCATTTAGATTATTAGTTGATTGTGTACGTAAATCTGATTCCAAGTTAGCAATGCGTTTACAATTTGTGCAACATCGCAACGGTATAATTCTTTTTTTATAAGGTGATTTTGAATGTGGTTGATTCATTACTGAGTTTATTTTTGGCCATTTGTTTTGTCCATTTATTTCTCTTAGCGTTTCTCTTCCACTTCTAAAAAAAATGAAATAAATAAGATGATGTGAGTTAATCAAAATGTAACCAAAGAAAGTTTGCACATAGTTACTCACATCAATCTAGAACAAGTCCACTATCACCTATTATTAAAGTGTGAAGTTTTATGACTGTTTAAGGAAGACATGTAATTGGTTCCTCCTCCTTCAGAATCAACAGATCTTAAACATTGCTTTTTCACTTGAATTGCACTTTCCCGGATCGTACTGTTCAATACTTTCACGATTTACCCACAGCCTCTATCTGTACATACAGTACCTGCAAATTTTTTAAAATTTAGAGTTTTACAGAATCGTGAAAATTATTTTTAGGTCTTTCTTGATATTACATAAAACTTCTCCAATATCTTTGTCTGCACAATAATACTTTAAGATTTTTGTCGCAAGCCCATTCTTGTACAGGCATACGTGAAAGTATTCCACGTTAACGGGGGAATAGAAATTAGAAAGAGTATATTAGCTTGCTGTGTTTAAAAGTATTTTTATGTATTATTATTTAATAGAAAGCTTAAGTACAAGTTCGCTGTGTTTAAAAGCATTTTCGTGTATTATTATTTAATAGAAAAGCTTGAGTATGATGATGATTGTTTTTTTTTTTTAAGAAAAAAATCAAAAATAATCGACAGGAGTTACCTACCGCAGCTGCGCAGCACCGTTTCGTGGTGGTACAAGGGGTTAGTGATGTGAATTTTTATTCTTAATAAAAGGAAATTCTGCTTTTCTTTCTTTTACCTCAAGATAATAAAATTCGATAAAATCAAATAAAATACACAAATGATTTTATTATCTTCTAACGACCATATCTTGCACATTATGTGTAGGTTGGTAGTATGGTATGCGTTAGGGTCAACTATAAACGCTGACCTATCGAGATGAGATATACTGACATTATCCCACATGGAATACTCACCGAGGGTGACGTGAGGAGAAAATGTTGCCAGGGTGATCTTCTTTCAATCCTTGGGTCTTATGGACAATGAGCACAAAGAAGTTTTGTTGCAGGAACTGGTTGGGGGAATAGGAAGCAAGTTATAGATAAGTGGGTTGATTTTATTAGGCAGTTTTCTTAAATCCGGTGATGTGGATGGTAATGTGTTGATTTATTAGGTAGTTTCTTTAAATCCGATGATGTGGGTGGTAGTGTGTTGATTGTGGTTTGGTGTTCTTATTTGTGAGGAGATATTGTTTATCGTTTATCCGTACCTCTCTAAAAGTTGGTAGAATGTCATGTTATCATGTTGATGTTAAGGAGATTTAGGGATAACAGATAAAATAGATTCAATTTGTAGCACGGAAGACGGTTTGGCCGGTGATGGAGGGAAGTTGAGCGAGATTTCCTACTGCAATTATATTGATACCATCAAAGGTGATAGAGTCGTGAATTCCTGTAAATATGTTAGATATAAAATCAAGTAGCTCAGTAGAAATCATTGAGATAATTATTGTGTCAACTTTTCATGTCGAATAAGAGAAATTAAAGTTTTTCTGAAATTGAATTAAAATTTTTTTTGCGAATATTTAAATGTGTGTGCACGTATAATTGGGGTGCGCTGTTAACTATGTAAATCAAAACTATATCAAGTTATATAATAAAAATTATTAATTAAGGATTTTTTTTAATGAGTTAAAATTTTAATGTTACAATAATGAATTTATTAATGCAAATATACAGTATACAAATTAAAATTTAATAATGTTAATTTTATAAATAATCTGGTTAAATTGATACTAATAATGTAATAATTATATTTCACATTACAATAATTAATGCTGTAGCATATATTTCACTTATATTTTCTAAGTTTTTCAATTTTTTTTTATTTTGCAATATTTGCAGCATAAAAAAATAAGAATAGTACTAATTAAACCTTTTTTCTGACCAGTTTTGAGGATGCTGAGTAATTTTAATTAGAGCAACTTCTTTGATTTAGGCCATAATTTTGTGAAAACACATACTATGGTGTTGAGCACCAATGATGGTATGTTTTAGTAAAGTCGTAATTTTGCCCAAATTTCCAAAAAAAAAAATGTAAATTATGGTCACAATCAAAATGTAAGACTGTAAGAGACAATTGTCAAAAATGTAAGAAAACTTGATCATTAATGCTCCCATAATGAAATGATTTTTATGAAATTTTTTTTAAAAAAAAAAAATGATTGGCAAAAAAAAATCACGTAAAATATAAATTTTTAGGGCGGATGATTTAACCCAGGTTTATATTTAACCCAGGGGACAAGTTAGCAAACCTCTTTTAAAAAAAAATTTCTTATTTTCGCATAAATAATTTTATGAAAAAATTAATATTATATGTATAAATTTACGATATGTTTTTTAATTAAAAATCAAAAAAAAAGTACATTTTTACGTAATTATTTATGAAAATTACAGTATTTACATCCCTATAAAAAATTTTTATCCGAATATTTCCATTATTTCTCCGTGTCTTCCGTAAAAATTCCGTGAAAATGATACGGATATCCGTGTTAGCGAGATGAAAATTTCCATGATTTAAGGCTATAAATTCCATGAAAATGATACATTCACGGAAAAAACATGGAAAGATAAAACACGGATCAGATTTTTTACAGGGCATAATTTACGTTGTTAAAAAGTACGAATAAAGGTCAAATGCGAATTAAAACCTTTACGTGATCTACGTAATCAAAGATTGCGTAATTAATATTTTTTTAAAATGTAATATATAGTATTACGAAATTTTTATTTTTTAATATAAATGAGACACGAATTCGTAAGGAGCCGCTACTCTATTATCATTAAGAGTACGATTAGGAAAATATTAGGATTAGGTTAGGTATTCTAAATCTACCGTTTAGCACTGCATGAAATATCCCAAAATACTTGATTTAAAAAAATTGAATAATACCCACGGGTATTTCATGAGATGCCGGGTATTATATGAGGGGTACAGTATAATGTTGACCAGAATTAAGCTTGTAACCAGAATTAAGGTAATTTTTATATCTAGTAGAATACCCGGATCTTTTAAAGTGAGGGTACGCCCAAAAGGGAGGTATTTTATGCAGTGCTTGACGGTAAATCATATTTTAATATATTGGCAAGTGTTTTGATGATCATTCAATCTGCTTCATAGAAGTTATGCCTTTTTTATTCAAGAGACTAAAAGCACAAACCATACATAATAGGAAAAAAATAGTAGCTGTTTTCTATACTACGATACCTGAAATAAAATATTAATAACGTCATGGTCTTTAAATTAAATCGGTTGGTTTAGAATATTGTTTTGATTCTAAAAAAGAAATTGAATCTAAAAATAAAGCAAAAAAATTTAAAAGAATTTTTCTATACTCAATTTATTCTAATCAAATCAAATCAAATATCAATTAATTTAATTTTAATTTTAAATTTAATTAATTCTTCATATTATATTTTTTTGATCATAGATTTTTTTATATTGTCGATTTTATAATTTACGGCTTTTGAAAATTTACGCTTTTTTTTATTATTACATATCTAATACATAATAACGATGCTAACAAACTATTTTAATCAATAAAAGAAGTATAGTCAGTACAGTCAACTCTCTATAAATGCGTAAATGCACCCATTATATTATATACCCTTCGCACATGCACCTTTTAGTTCAGTCCCAAAATTATATGATTCATAATGATTTCACTGTGTATAAAGTATAATGCACTCCCTCTTTAAATGCATAATTTTATGTCTGTCTCTTATACACATCTAGATGTGTATAAGAGACAGATTATATGATTCATAATGATTTCACTGTGTATAAAGTATAATGCACTCCCTCTTTAAATGCATAATTTTATGTGGTCCCAAGGGGGGGGGGGGTGCATTAATAGAGAGTTGACTATAATTATTAACTTACCTGCTCTTACCCTGCTGCTGCCTAATAATTTCATTGTGGCTTAAATCACAATTTGTTATCGGCATCGGCATACTAATAAGTTAATCGACTATCATCATACTGTGAAACGTTATAAGAAATTTAAAGAAATAAATGCGGCGCTGCTCTTGGTCTAAGCAATTTGTGACTCTTACTTTTTGTTCTTACTCGATAAAAAAAAATCTCTTTTTTAAAAAAATACGAAGCAAAAAAAAAAAAAATGATAGTATTATTCCTTCGAGTTTTATATATTATTTATCTTATAATGTGCGGAATAACACGTGAGTTGATGTGGTTACAATTTTAAGAATTATTTTTAGAAAATAAATTTTGATTCGTTGGTTATTTTTAATCGAATTTTAGACATAAGATTATTCGCACTTTTGGATTTGATTGAAGTTGAATCACCAGCATATAGTCAAAAGAATATAAATAAAATCAATGATGATAGTTCTGTATTGTAAGTAAAAATAGTAAAATGAAATTATGCACATTACTATCAAACTATAAATAAACTTTATTAATAAAATCCTATCAAATTTCAGATACCTCTGTTTAGTTATAGGAGCGATATGTTATTCAGGTAAGTTATTGACTATGAAGTTAATGACTATGAAGTTATTGTGATCATATGGGAAATATTTTAAAATACTTTATTGATTTCTAGCTCACTCATTTGTCAAATTTGGATGGAAGAGCACAAGACAGAACGGTGATGAAATAGGAGCTCATTATTTGTAAGCATATATATATATGTGTATATATAAATAAAGAATTAAAGTTTGACTAAAATTATTTACTAAAATTTATTAAATTACGATCTTTGTAGAATACTAGCAATTCTTTGGTCGTTTTATTATTGTAAATATATCTTTAATACATTTTTAAATTTATATTTTAACTTACAAAACTAACAAATTTAATTTTTATCCTGAAAAAAAAAAAAAGTCGCTTTGGCAATTAGGATGGTAATATTTAACGCGGAACCATTAGCAAAATTTCCATGGAAATGTAACACGGCAAAGAATCCAATCATTTCAAATTTATTATTCACGTTATGTAAATTAAGACTTTTGGATATTATGTTAGCTTTATTAAATCCGATCATACTATTTTGGTTAGGTTGGGCTTGTTTATTAGATTGGGATGAAATTTGGTTTGATTATTTTGAAAAATTAAAATCAAAGTTATTAAATAATAATAACAAAGTTGAATATACTAGTATATAATTGTAATTTGAGACAATATGTATAAAATTAATAAAAATGAGGTTAAACTTGTTAACGTTTGGAATTTTGCGTCATAAATTAATTATAAATTTCTAGAAACACGAATTTGTCGATCTCGGAACGTAAAACAATTAGAGTACTTTTAATTGGAATGTTTTAATTATTTGGCGTTTACACAATTACAAACAAACCTTTATCTCCTTATCTCGTACAATACTTTAACTCGAAAGAATTTAATTATATACAGTAAATATAAATGAAAAAGGAAATCATTCAAATATATAAATAACTTTGTGTGGGAAAAATCAAGAAAAGGAAATGAAGGAAATGTCGAAAGTTCTGATCATCAAACCTTGTCGTTACGATTATTATAAAATTATTATTATTTATATATATTTTTTGTCATTGATATTTTCAAAAGGAGTAGAATTTTTTACGCAGTCGTACTTCAGTAGTACTTCCGTCTTCCCGCCAAATTTATCCCGTCGTTTTGTAACAATTTCTGACCAATTAAAATTAGTTTAGGGTTGTTATGCAAGTTATTTATAAAATGACGTAACAATGACCTTAGAAGGTAAAAAAAAGGGACTAAGCTTTTTTTTTTTACTACATGGAAAATGATTGCGGTAACTACTTTTTTATTTAGAGGGCGTTCGTTAATCATGTTAATCATGTTTGTTTTAAAAAAAAAAAATCATTTTATTATACGGGGAAATCCGTTTCATAATTTATGGAAAATTATATAAGAATACAATTTTACATTTTTTTACGATAAAATTAAATAATTTATCAATAATTTTTAGAATAAAATGTTTTACAAATTATTAACAATTACAAGGTATATTCAATTCATTATCTTATTGATAATAATCGGTTTAGGTAAATTTTTTTTTCTTTTTTTTTTAAAAAAAAAAAGTTAGCAAATTTATATATATATATTTTGTTTATGTTCTAATAATAGAAATAGCTCAACTATTGGCATTTCGTGCTAATAGGGAACAATTCTCATTTCCTAATGTAAATAATTCGGCACCGTTGAGCTCGGATGGCAATGTTTCATGGTCCGTCTATTTTGAAGATATGAATATGTAAGTGAAATATTAAAGTTTTAGTTAAATATATATTTATTTTAGTTAAAGTATTTTTTTTTTAGTTAAAGTTAATTTATTTTTTTTAATTATTTTTTTTTTCAATCATTTTAGTGTTCATGGAATTAAAATATTTTATTACATTGTAATAATATTAACCTTGCTTGGTCCACGTGAGTCATTATTATTATAATTTGTTATATATATATTTTTAAAAAATTCATAATCTTTTTTTTTTTTTTAATTTATGAATAGAATTCTTTTGGAAAAGGTTTAATAAATCACCAATTTTATTTAGAGACAAATATTATGAACTGTAAAGTATTATAATTTATAAATTACCTTTTTACTTGTACATGATTTTTTAATATTTTTAATAATTTATTTTTATTTATTTTATTTATTTAGTTTTTATTTAGCAATTTGGTTTACAGTCAGTAAGTTTTTTATATATTTTCAATTTTTCAATTAAATTATTATAATTATAATAGTAGTAATAATATGATATATCTATCATCTTTTCAGGTCTTACAAATTTAAAACCAGTATTCTCAGGAACAAGTTTAAATTGTAATGATTCAAATTGGGGACCTCAAGGTTATAGGTGTAAAATGTTTATCTCGAGCGAATTTTTTAGTATAATTATGACAATTAGTTGGTTAATTTCAACTTATGTATTACTTAAGTATTTAAGAATACATAAGGAAGAAATAGCTGATAGAGAAACTGAAAGGAAGAGTAATAAGAGTATTAGGAGGAATAAAAAAAAGGAACCAAAAATTAATAATGATTATGATGATAATGGGAGTGTTGAGAATGTTTAAAAAAAAAACAATAAAATAAATAAGTAAATTAGTTTTGAAAATTTTGGTAGTTTTGACAATTTCTGGAAGTTTCGGTAATTTCTGACAGTTTCGGTAATTTCTGGTAGTTTTCGGCAGTTTTTACAGTTTTTGGCAGTTTCGGTGGTTTTCCAGTTTCGGTAATTTCGGCGGTTTCGGTAGTTTCGGTAGTTTCGGTAGTTCGGAATTGAAACTAGAATAAATTATTGTAAATTGTAATAAAATTTTTTAACAATGTATCCATCTACAGTTCGGCATAGAAGCTAAATATGTGATTATAATAAGTAATTAGTAAATTGTAATAAAATTCTTTACATCCGTCTACAGTTCGGCATAGAAACTAAATATATGACTCGATAATAAAATTCTTTACGATTTATCCATCTACAAGTTCGGCATTAAACTAAATATGTGATTGTATTAAGTAATTAGTAAATTGTAATAAAATTCTTTATATCCGTCTACAGTTCGGCATAGAAACTAAATATGTGATTATAATAAGTAATTAGTAAATTGTAATAAAATTCTTTATATCCCATCTACAGTTCGAAATTGAAACTAAAAATGTGATTATAATAAATTGTAATAAAATTCTTTACATCCATCTATAAGTTCGGTATTGAAATTAATTATATGACTAGAATAAACGATAATAATTCTTTACGATTTGTCCATCTATAAATTCGCATTGAAACAAAATATATGACTCGATAATAAAATTTTTCACGATTTATCCGTCTACAAGTTCGGCATAGAAACTAAAAATGTGATTATATTAAGTAATTAGTAAATTGTAATAAAATTCTTTATATCCATCTATAAGTTCAGTATATATATGACTAGAATAAACGATAATAAAATTCTTTACGATTTATCCATCTACAGTTCGGAATTGAAACTAAATATGTGATTATATTAAGTAAATTGTAATAAAATTCTTTATATCCATCTACACTTCGGTATAAATGATTAGAATTCTTTATTATAATATATTCACCTATATTACTTCCTTTGTACAAATCTCTCGTAGTGAAAAAATAATCATCCAAAGTAACCATTCCTAATTAAAAGAAATTAATATTTATTAATATGAAACATGAAACTTCGTTCATATAATAATGAGAATGAGACTTTTGAGGCTCTTTTTAAAAAGAAATAATAAACCAATGTCATAACCAAAATATCACGTGATCTAAATATTCGGAGTTAATCTTCGGTGTAAAACACTAAATAAGGCTAAAATAAACTTAATTAAAAATCTCGGTAATTAAAAATGTCGGTGTCAAGTATAACGTGGCTTCAGTATGTTAATAAAAGTAGTATATCAAAAGGGTAAACAGTAATACTAACTTTAAATAAATTTACCGAAATTTATAATTCATCAAATATGTAAACCTCCTATTAATTAAAATACCATAATTGGGAATTAGAAATTTCTTTCAAAATAAAAACAAAATAAAAAAGATATTTAGATATTTGAGTTTTGTAATGGACATTTGAACATTTGGACATTTGGAATCATATTAAAAAAAAACCATTTTTCAGTAATTTGAAAATGGAGGAAAATAAAGGAATACAAAATTTCGAAAAGTCATGTGATTCATTAACTACCGACATATTAATTTCGGCATAAAAAGAACATTATTAAGTCATTATCAAGCCATAATAAGAAATATCTCAACTTTCGATCGGAACAACTTTTACTTTCAATTTTCCAAATATTTTGAAAATAATCTGCAAGTGTTTCATATTTCCAAAAATGAATAACGTTTAATCAAAGCCCCTTTTCAAACACAAAAAATACAATCAAAAATACAATCTATTGCATCATAAGTTAATTTTAGTATCAACTTTATATAAAAATAACACTATCAGTTAATACCAAAAAAAGCAAGATTTTGGGCTAAGAATTAGATGATCCATTCATAATTAGTAGATGATTTGCAATTTTTACCTTAATTTTTAATACTAATTGACGTCGATTTTCTACTTGACTCCTCTTTAGGATTGAACGTTAAACTTGCGTAATGATAACGCTAAGAAATTGTGTTCAACTACAGTACAATAAGTATCAATATAACTAACCATGACTATAAATAGTTACGGCGACTAATATTGCCAATTCTTTTTCATTTTTTTAATGAAAATTTTTCATTTCTTACGTGAATGATATTCAGTATATAAATGGGTCGAATCCTTTTGATAAAAAAAAAAAAAGAACCATCGAAACTTTTTATTTTTTCTTTGCGAGATAATTTAAAAAAAAAATGACTAAAAAAGGGTTTTACTTATGTTTGAGAGTTACACAATATTTGGCTTTATTATGTATAATTGGTTTAGGTATTAATAAGAAATTATTATATAGCATTTATTCTTTTTTTTTATCACTTGGATATAGCATTTATTCTTTTTTTTATCACTTGGAAAATAATTATTATAGAAATAACTCAATTAGTATTCTTTAAACGTTATAAGGATGCTATATCATTCGAAGAATCTGCTACCTGGAAAGATTGGTTTGAAAGTTTTTACAAGTAAATAAATGAAATAAAATCTAAAGAAATTTTATGTTTTTGTTTTTTATTTCTAAATTATTATTATTATTATTAGAAGACATGGAATCAAATATTTTTATTATGTAGTCATTGTAATTACATTAATATATATTCGTAAGTATTTTATCTTATTAATTCTATATCTCTTCTTTTTATAAATACATAATAATAAATAAAATCAATTTATAGTGTATAGTCTGATTACTTTTACACGTCGATGGAAAACTGGGCCATATCGAAAGGTTATCTTTGTCGACATGTATGTTTTACAATCCAAGTTATGCCTGTAACCATTTTATGCATATCACTTAACACCTTATTTTTATTATCTTCTATTTATAGCTTCTTTTTATTATTGTGGTTAGCAGTCGGTAAGTAAATTAATCTTAAATTTTAGATTTTTTTTTTTTTTTTTGGGTTAAATCACAAACATTTTTATAATTATTTTATAAAGGATTCACAAATATTTATCCGATATACTTTGATGGTTCACTAAATTGTGATATAAAGGAAGAATTCAAAGATTTACCTGGTAGACTAACAGAATGTCGTGCTTATCTTGCGAGTATGGCTATTGGTTGGTTCATGGCTTTATTATTCTTACATACAGCCATTCATTCAGTTTATTTATGGTCTCATCGTGATAAAATTCATGCTCAAAATGATAAAAATGTTTCTTATCCTAATCCAGATAATCCTGTGGTATGATGTAAATGTTGTAAATGATGTAAATGATGTCATGATCTCGAAAACACGATCTAGTTCCAAATTTGATTAGGTTTATTACATGACATCATTTTAACTAAAATTACTAATAATTTTAATTATCTGAATATAGTTTAATAGATATAATTGTAGATAATATCATTAATTTATCCCCCAAATTTAGCATTATATTTTAATAAAAAAATAGAACATTAATTATTTTTATCTATTAACTAATATAATTATTTATTAATTTGATGATGCAATAAATAAGAAATTTCATCGTTTCAAACGCTCCTTTTGTTTTAGTGGATGTTGTTTCTTAACTTGAAGGATGCATACTGTCTTTTAGATGAAAAAAGCGCTTGTTGGGATCGCTCAGAATGATGTATGTTCATTATACTTTTCCTTCATGATGACATGAAGTTTCATGATAAATAATAAGGAATTTTAAAAATTATTTATATCCTAAACCGACCCGTTGTCATTGGGACGGGATAGTCCAGGACATGTCCAAAGATTTCAACAATGTCCGGACATTAAAATCACGTGATCTTAAATTAGTAACTTCTGATCCCATTTAATTCGTCTAATCAATTAGTAATAATTTCATATCAATATTGGCAGAGATATGATCATAAACTTGAACAATTTTTTGGACGGGATATTGGACGGGATATTGGACAGGACATGTCCTAGACATTGTACTGAACATTAAAATTTTGGCGGGGATCTTTTCCAGCTCTCCTTATTAAGCTTATAGTACGATAGAAAGACGGTTTATGATGATGAGTAGCATAATATATTGTAATGTTACTACTTACTAATTCTTGTATAAAATGTTTAATATTGAGCGGTATACAAACGTTTATCTTCATAAATTGACGAAAATTCAGAGGTGGGAGAAGTTCACGAAAATGACGAAATGTTATCTGGGAAAGGAATCAAAAAGATATTGCGTCTAGTGATGTCTAGTACTATCCCGTTGCGATTTTATGCCAAAAGTCTGTTTGGAAAGCTTGCGTAGCGCACTTTTCAACAGACGTGCGCCGTTGGAGATAGTTGAATATACGGGGGTCCAGGAACACCATGCTGCGGGCGGGGGAGGGGAGATAATTAATTAATGAAATAAACTGAGAAAATGAAAAGCTAAAGATATGCTTTCTTATAAAATTAAATTAACATAAAGAAAATCTTGAATTAAGGAGCCTTGACTACCCTCTACTTTTTACTCTTTCTTACATAAAGTATATTGGTTTGTTTTAAAATGTGAGACATTTTTTCCAACATTAAATTCAGTAACTTATACTTATGATCACTTGTACTTATGATCACTTGATTTTAACATGTGTCATATTATTATTAGGCGATTTTGACATAAAAAAATAAATAATTAATAGGGAACGAAGTCTCTGCTATACATGGAATCGAATCCCTATGAGACTTTCCCATTTATTGAATTAAAATATGAGGATAAGCTACAACTTCATTCATTCGGTTATACCATTTTATGATTCGTATTGCTAGGGTTCTTTGTTTTTCGTCTAATTTTTAGTTATTTAATTATTACTATAACGTGTTAACTTAAGCAAGCGTACCCGATAAAATTTTGATAAAATACTCAACTCAGTCAACTGAGCTTAAATATTAATTGGCTTGATTTTTCCAATCAGCCGATATGGATTACCTGAACTTCTGCGAATTGTTTTTATTTCTTGTTTTTCTTGATTGGTCGGACTTAAATAGATTTAATTGAGTTTATAAGGAATATTATGTAAAAATTTTCGTTCGTTCATGTGTTTGATCTACAAAATTGACCGGATCTTTATATCACATGATTGCTATAAATTTACCACGAAATCCCGACAAGCACAATCCCGATATGATAAAATCCCGAGGCACGTATTCCTGACAGAGACAATATACTGAACGATCAAAATCCCGAAAGTATCATATCCCGAATGGTCTAAAATCCAGAATTTAAATTTCCTGAAAGTTTAAGTTACTGATGAGTCAAAATCCCGATACAATATTATAATTTTGAGTATCTCTTTGATTTTTGTTTACTAGGAAGATCATTTCCTACTGATTATATAATTTGCGACAATTAATACAATCATATATACAATACATATGCACTATTTCCAATTTTCCAATTTAAATGATAAAGATTGCAATTTTGATTTATGACTTACATGTTACAGTATAATATATAGTGAGATCACGCAGTAGTAATTGACATAATAACTCCTTGGCAAATTATGCAAATTATTAACAATTGTGCAATCACTACGATATTATTACATAAATGGTTACATGAAAAAAAATTCTTTTCTTTATCGTGTCGGGATTTTGACTCATCAGTAACTTGAACTTTCGGGAATTTTGAATTCCAGATTTTGGACTATTCGGGATATAATTCTTTCAGTATTTTAATCATTCGGGATATTGTCTTAGTCGGGAATAGGAGTGTCAAGATTTTATCACATCGGGATTATGGTTGCCGGGATTTCGGGAGGATCCCCTATAAAATGAACGAGTTTAACATGCAACCAATTAATATCGATTCGAAACTCGATTGAATTCTTGGATTTCATAAACATATAGAAAAAGCATTCGACAAAAGTATGATGCAATTTGAAAGCTTTCAATGACTTTTTATGGAATTGGACCTTCAAATTCCTTCCAATTCTAATTCTATTATTCTCAATAATTTTCAATATACATATGTGCATTGAAAGGCTTCCAATAATTGGAAGTAGTACTAGATTACTAGAATTGGAAGATTTGGGAAATCCAAATATGCTTCCAACTTCTAATGCATATCACTGCGCAAAAATGTTTAGAAAATATTGGGGTATTACTTGTACAATCCAGTCAATTTACTTGAATTATTTATTATAATTGATTATAAATATTGTTTATCATTAAAAAAATTTACCGTTATTTTCATAATTTTATTCGTTTTTTTGTTTTTTGCATTGTTTTCGGTTATTACCTTAAATTAAATTATATAAACATTATATTTTTTAAGAACTATTATTAGAATTATTTATTTACATTATATAAAATTTCAAAGAATTAATTAAATATGTACATTATATATTCATTGATCTTAAAATAATTTTTTTTTTTTTTAGAACGTATCATATTAAAAAAAAATATAATCCTTTATTTTTTTTCTTTATTTGGATTATTTTGTAATTGAACACTTAAACTATTTTTTTATTTGTTTGGTTTTAAAACATTATTAAAATGGCAGAAATGTTCGATTTGTTTGATTTTGTGTTCAAGCACGCAACTTTTTACGCATCCGCACACATTTCTTAAAATGGACTACAAAAAAATTTTGATCGACATGACCTTGTCGTACTGATTACATTGTAAGTTCGTACAAGATAAATTATGTTTATTAACTTTACTTTTGTTAAAGAAAATCGTATAGATAAAAGGTGCGCGAAATATTGTAATTATTCATTGGAAAGAAAGAGAATTGATTCAAATAATAAAGTGAAACTGTAATAATATATATATATCGTTAAGTTTAAGAAGTAAAAAAAAATGAAACTCAAAAAGTATTTTTAAACCTTTAACTAACCTAATCACGAGAAAAAATTAATTACAAACATGTATAAGACATATTATGTGTTAGGGGGATACAAAGGTTATTTATATTTTTTTATTTCATATGACAACTTGTGTACAAAAAAAAAATTTTTTTACAAATACTCCATGTTTCCCATTCTTTATACATTAACTGTTTTCAATTAAGAGTTTTCTATCAGATAACGTGACAACCAAAAAATCCCGATTTTATAACGTACGAAAGAAAAAAAAATATGAAATATTTAAGTTCGTCAATATTTCAAGGTGTCATTCTCGGTTGGATTTCTTCCACTTTGATATTGATATTTGCAATTTTTGTGGGAATGTGGAGCAAAATAATGGGACTTGATGTCGTGTGGAATTTGCGTGTTGGTTTATTTTTAACCGTCGTAAATGTGACTACAAGAGTAGTATCTTTTATTGCATGTTTCATGATGCCGGCTATTTTAGCAGGAATGCTTGTCTTAAATAAAATACCAGTGTTGACCGGGTCTGGTGCAATGATTAGTCAATTAATAGAAGCATCTATAACTCGTGGTCCATTATGTACTTTAAAAGCCTGCTTTAACTCAGGTAAAACTCGTACACTCGCTATTGTTATTGCCTCAGTCTTAGTTTGGCAATATACAGTATCATTATCTGATTTGTATCTCCATTTAACTGCTGTCGGAAAGTCTCAACAACTTCCTGGATTAATGGTTCCAAGCGCGAGGTCATTAGATATAGCAACTAATTGTTCCTTATCCCACACTGATACTTGTTCTAGATTTAAACGTGGAATGACAAATCCAGGTAAAGCATTACAAATATATCGAAATACGAGTGATACGTTTCAAATTTGGAATAATAATGATGGAGTTTATCTTTTGCAAGCTCCACCTTCAAATACAAGTTATGCGTATTCAGGAACTGGTATCTTATTAAAACCTTCCTGTGAACCAATCAGTAGTATATGCAATTTAAAAGCGAGATATGGTGCTATGACAAATTATTCTTGTCCAGAATCATTATGGTACGCCTCAGGAAACACACAAGCTGTAGTAGCAGATGTAAATGTTACAAGTGAAATTAATGATCCGATTACAAATACAGTTACAACATTAAATCCTCTACATGCAATTGTAACTATACGCTATGGTATTGAAGCTACGACAGAATACGATCCAGAATTTGTAAAAGAAATTCATGGTTTCCTTGCAATCTTATTACATTGTCAATTAACAACCTCAACAGTTGAATATGTTGTCACCCTTGGATCGTTAAAATCATCACCACTGGGAAATCTGACAAATTCACAACAATTTGCCCTCGGTGTTGCATCATCAGAAGGTAAAATGATAAGCCGAGCGATAGATGACGTTGAAGATATAGCACATAATACTGGAAACAGCATATTATTTGCTAACGCATTTGCACAACAATGGGCTCAAGCGACAATTGCCGGATTTAGTAGTGGTGCAGTACAAGCAAATGGGGAAGCAAATGGGGAAGGAAATGGAGAAGGGTATGGTTATGTACTTGAAGTGGTTAAGGAACAAACTTTTGCTCCACTTTCAGCTGTTTTGATTTATGCCATTGTCATCACATTCCCATTATTCATCTTTTCCTGTATATGTCTGTTTTCTCTAAAAAATGATACCAACTGGATACTTGTTGAATTCATCTGTACACCACAGAGACTACTTTATCAAGCTTTATTTAGGGAACATTATATGGATGATGCTTGTTCAAAAAGTTTATCAGATCAAGCAATGAGAATTAAAGAGGTTGAATGTAATATTAAGCTGGAAAAAGGACATTTTAAGTTGACAAAAACAGAGTAATTTATAATAATAGTTGGATGTAGTTAAATAATATCTTAATATTTTTGAAAGAATATACAATATTATCAATATTTATATTATATAATTCTAGAAAATTTTTAAACCTTTTAAATATATTTTAATATATAATAAAAAAGTTCATGGAATATAATGAAACATCATTAACGTATGTAATTTTGTAAATATAAAATTATTGAGAGCATATTTTATGGCTCTTTCACTTTAATATATGTAATGCGAATACGGTATAATGCAAATTCAAGATCGGAATTTTTTCATTAAAATGTTGGGGTTTCTTTCCTTTTTTTATTAGTCCTTTGACGAATATGTTATATAAGTTTATGGATTTTGTGAAATATTTCGCCAAATAAACGTGTATTTATTTAGCAACTCCGTCTCCAATCATTACGGGAAACGATTTAGCAAATAACATATAAGACTTTATATTTTAATATTACGTTGTTTCATTACGAAACTTTAGTTTGAAATAGCCAAATTATTATTAAGTTTTGCTTAAATAGATCATTTTAATCATATTTAAGTAAAAAATATTAGTAGTCTACCTGATATTAAATATGAACAATTAAATAGTAAATTAAATGTTTACTATAATATATACATATATTTTATTAATATTTTATTATTCTCTAATTGATAAAGGAACAAAAGGATATGTAATAATTAATACTTTTTAATGGTACGCAATATGATCTTGTTATTCTAGACGATATTTATCTATGCATAATTTAATAATTTTATTTTAAATTTATAATTGATTAAAAAAAAGTCGTGATTAATTGCGATTATATAGGCTGTTTTTTTTTTTCAAAAAAATAAAATTAGTTTTTTTTATTAAAAAAAAATAAAATTAGTTTTTTTTATTAAAAAAAAACACTTTTTTACTGTAATATAAAAAAATGCTTTTTCATTTAGGACCTGTTTCAATAATTATCACGTGAGCTGAATCAGCTGATCATTGGTCGATAATAAAAAAAAGCTACCGAGGAATGAACAACTAGTACTGGTAACCAAGGTGACATCGTCATCCGGCGGTGCATACAATTTGATGGAATTAATTTATAGTGTCTATGTAATTTGTACTGTAGCTTAATTCACTTTGAAAATAAGAAATAAACAACTAGTACTGAAAATTCAAACGAGTGTATTTATTGATTAAAGAATTTTTTTTTTTTTTATTATTATTAATTACTAACTATTTGATAATAAAATTTTATTTTTGTATCACCAGAGGCTATATTAATAGTAGACAATGCATGACTTATTTTATATACTGAAGTATTTTTATTATTAATTAAAAAAAAATCATACATTTTTAAATGGATTCTTTGTATATAGTTCTATATCCATCGGATAATTTATAATAAAAAAATCATTTAGAAAAAATCATATAATTTAATTGTTAAAAAAAATCATATGAAAAAAATCATTCAAGTTAATTGTTAAAAAAATCATTGTTAGTTAAAAAAATCATTTAATAAGGTTCAAACATATTTTATTTTTTTCCTTTTTTCAACAGTGAAATTTTTATTTCTTAGTGCTCATAAGCTTAAAATTTCACCGTTTTTTATCAATAATCTTACACATCAAAAAAAAGTGTTATTGTGTATGTTAGATTATAATAACCCAGAACTGAACCACAGTTCTACTAAACCTATAAATTATTTATGTATTCAATACTTCCTTTATTTATAAAAAGTTATACTATACTTAACGTTTTAGTTATACTATTGAATATATGGCATGAAATTGCGCGTGATATAAGATGTAGGCATCTCCTCTTCAGGCCCACCAGAACACAATGTAGAACTAAATGGAATACGTTAAAGTCAGGGTATGGAACTTAGAGAGGTTACTAAACAGAAATTCCAAGAACAATAAGAACAAACAGAAGAAACAATAGTTCTTAAATAGAACTGGAGAAGAGGCGGATTGCACTTTGGGAACAAAAACTAAAACTCAGTAAGACCAGTGTGGAGTTTGAGGAATTGGAGTTAGTGAATATTAAATTGCATCATTTACATTAATTTTACCTAGAGGGCACCATTTGATGTTATGGCATATTAGGGGTCAGTTGTTTAGGCGTCCAGATTCTTTATCATGTGTCTCTAAGAAATGAAAAAATGCCAATTTTGAAGCACTTTCACACCAAAACGGTGCATTTCCAGTCAAAGCTCAGATCTATTTAAAGTTCCAATGGGCTGACGAGGCCAAGAAGCACATTTATATCGACAGATATCAAGTAACATCCATATATGTTAAAGAAGTTATAGAAATGTATATCAACAATAATGGTATTGCAAAGATTAATATCTAATCATATAGTTATTTGAGTGGTTGTGGCAATCCAACCTATACCTGACAAGTATATATATATCCTTAAACTTTCACAAGTATTATATTGAAAGACATGGTTATTACAAGCAATTCAAAAAAATGGATTTTACCTTCAGGGAGGAATGTAGGTGAAATCATTAATGAAAATGTATCTGCAAACACAGCAAGAGTCAAGGATAAGAAAAAAGTAGCGATGCACGAAATCAGGAGAAATTGGTATCAGAACTCAAGTTATACTAAGATAACATGAATAATAATAACGTATACAGTTATGTCATGGGAGAGATATTGGAACAAGACATTATATAAGTATTACTTATCCCCTGCCATTTACACAATAGTAAGTGTTTCATAGTATATCGTAAGTATAATATAGTATAATTTATTGTTGAATCTTATTTTTCTTTCGCTTGTTTTTTTTTTTCTCATTTTAAAAGATTTTAAAAAAATAATTAAATTTTAAAAAGCTTCGGAACTATTACTATTACACCTGAAAATAATATTGAGAAAAACTTTCTTTTAATTTATTAGTAATCTCATTTGGAAAATGCAAATCTTTCCGAATTACTCAATTTTCAAATCAGTCCATTATAGTATAATCAATAGTTAATTTTTACTGCAAAATTTCCTAGAAACGCTAGAAACGGATAAATAAATACATATAAAATTTGCTACCCAGTAGGTATAACTACATTTGCATAATCGTGTAAATGGTGCCGATCAGGAGATAATGATAATTATTTTTGTATTTTTATACATATTCTTTTTATTCTACATATAATGAAGCAGTGACAGCATATTAGGATCATGAAGATATAGGTGCAAGTAATTGACCAACTAATTCAAGATAATAGTATATTAAATCTCAGCTATTTTTGATGAAGCCCTGTAAAAAAAATTACTCCGTTTTTAATTCCGTTTTTATTCCGTTTACATTAATAAACAAGAGTTTCCGTTTTTTTTCCATAAAGGTCTCATATTCACGGAATTAATATGGAAACTTTACTGTTAAAAAAATAAAATCGTTTAATTAATAAAACTGATAATAAACTGATGATAAACTGATAAATAATTGAAAATTCATCGATTAATAAATGGATAAGTTTCGGATAAATTACTAAAACTTTACTGAATTATTTAAATTAGTAAAATGGATAAAATACTGAAAATTTATTAAAATAAAACGGATAAAAAAAAAATAAATTTGCTTAATAATAAAATGGATAAAATTTGGATAAAACACTGGAAATTTACTTATTAATAAAATGGATAAAATTCGGATAAAACACTGGAAATTTACTTATTAATAAAATGGATAAAATTCGGATAAAACACTGGAAATTTACTTATTAATAAAATGGATAAACACGGATAAAATGCTGAAATTTTATTTAATAATAAAATGGATAAAATTCGGATAAAATGCTGAAATTTTATTACAATAATAAAATGGATAAAATTCGGATAAAATGCTGAAATTTTATTACAATAATTAATGGATAAAATTCGGATAAAGCACTGAAAATTTTTCAGATGGATAAAATCCAGATAAAGCGCCGAAAACCTATTATAATGAAATGGATAAAATTCGGTTAAAACACTAATACTTTAGTATACCAATTACTTATTAATTTATTAACCAAACAATGGTTATATTGTATAACTCCAACTCTACTGTTCTACTGTTTAGATTTCTTGCTGGATCGTGTTTGTCTAGTTGATGTTTGTTTCTGTTGGGAAACTTCTTTTTTTCTTTTACCTCTACCTTTTTTACCTGCAAATTGAATAATGCATGAGTACAATAAATTTGTTGAGAAAATAAAATGTCTTGCCAAAATACCAGGAGTTTCTACAGCAAATTCAGTTGTAGCTGGAATATTGACTTCGGAGGTAGATGATATATTAGTTACAACTGGAGCATTTGATTCATTGGTAGAGAAAGTGAAAACCATTGTTTCAGTTGCAGTAGGAGCGTTAACTTGTGGAGTTATTGCAAGTAGTGCATCAGTAGACGAAGTAGAAGATGGTGGAGTAACTCCTATTTTGAAAATAATATTATTGTACTTGTCGATCGATCTAAAACTGTGAGACACTATATAAATTAATTGAAGTACTCTCAGAATCTTGTGAGCTTTCAGTTGTTGTTGTTCTATTATTATCCATACTATTATGCTTTTTAGGAGGTTGGACATTTTTTCTTTTTGGTGGTGGTGGTGGAAGACCATGCTTCTTTGCTTCGGCAATTTTCTTTTTTTTCGCCTGGTCAACTGTAAAATAAATTTTTTTTTTTTTAAAAAAAAAATAAAGTTTATACTTAATTTGGCAAATTTACACTTACCCATGCTATTACAATATAAAGCAAGCCATTCTCGAAGGATAAAATCAGCCTCAGAGACTGGAAATGTTGGGTTTGCTTCTTTAAACTACAATAATAATGAATTTTTAGTTTATTTACTTTCTGCAAATATAAATTTAATTATTAAATACTTACATCCCTAATAACTTCTTCTACTTTTCCTTTTTGCTGACGAGATACTGATTCACCACGTGAAAGCCTGGAAGCTGCTCTATTTCGAAGATCATTCTGTAATAAATTAATTTGAATCAGACAACTGGTGCATTACTAATAAACAAGTAATAATATACTGTATTTACTCGAAAATTTAAATATTGATCTTTATCTAACTTCAAAAGTTCGTGCCATTGAAAATCATTTTTAATTTGTTTAAATTCCTGAATCTTGATTGGATTCATTGCTGATCCTTTTGGAAACTGAAACAAATACATGTATTACTACTACACAACAATTACAACAATTACGAAATATTTGTAAAAATAATTTAAAACATGCTTGTTCATTTGTAGTCCCATATATAGTGCTATGTGCATTTAGAGATTTAAGTGAGGGGTCAATTGTCATCAGTGCTGTATATAATTTCTGTCGTTGCTCAGTATTTAGTACATTAAGGAGAGATGGTTCATTATTAAATAGAGCAAGAAAGAACTGTTGACGCTGCTCACAAGTAAGTTTATCAATTTGTATATTATTTTGGGACATGGTAAATTTAAAGAATTTCGTGAAATATTAAATAGAAAAAAATTAAAGAAAAAAGAGTTGAAGAGCTTATTTATAAAGTTTAAATAGTGGATTTATACGAGTTTAATTTATTTACGCGTTTACGCGTTTTAATTAATAAAGTTTCTGAAATTTGATCGACACAAATAAAGTATATAAAAGCTTAAATATGATCTAAGGTAATAATATGAAAAATTTGAGTATTATATTATACAGTCTAGTAAATCTTGTCAAAATTTATACATTTTTAATATGGCTGTTTTATGCACTTGTATTTGGTGTCTTCAAGAAACAAGTGGGTTAGGTAAATTAGTTAGTAAGTCAACTCGTGCAAAACATGTGACAAAACAGAAAAAAACTTGGATCAACTCAGAAAATATACCTGCATCACAGCGATGCCTAGCTACTTCTATTTCTCAAACTATTCCAATGACATTATCACCTAATAATAATATTCTAGAAGATCAAGATTATAGCAATGAAGAGAATAATATAAATGATCAGCAGATTGAAATAGTGGATAGTGAAGAAGAGAATGATAATAATATTGAAGAAGAACACATTTATGATAGTGAAACTGATGAATACAATAATGGCGAAAATGAAGATGAAGATGAAGAATATAATAATAATAGGGAAGGAAATGAAAATATTGAATGTGAAGATTTTGGTAGGCTACAGTAAATAAACATTATGAATTTATTTTAAATTTTGCATAAATTCTAATAATTATTCAGAAAACTTAATTAAAGGTTTACAGCTTCTTCAAATTAAAGATAAACACAATATTTCAGAAGCTGCATTTAACGAAATTCTTAAAGTTTTTGAAATTCCTGGAATTACACTTTACAAACTTCGAAAGTTTCTTGGAAATTTTATGTAATTAAAACCAACTCTTGTAGATTGTTGTATAAATTCATGTGTGGCATTCACAGGCGAGCTTATTAACAAAAATATTTGTCCAGAATGTAAAGAGCCACGTTATAAAGTTGATGAAGAATCTCAAATATCTCGAAAAAAAGCTGCTTATTGGTCACTTATTGATTCATTTCAGACCCAATATAAAGATAAAACTCGTGCAGAAATTCTTCGTTACAGATATAATTATACTTCTACTTATGAATATACTCTTGGTAATCAGATAGGTGATGTATTTGATGGCCTTCAATACAAAACTTTAGCCACATCTGGTTTCTTTTCAGACTGTCGGGATATAGCTCTAATGGCATCAATTGATGGATATCAAATTTTTCGTCAAAAAAGAGATGATTGTTGGGTTATACTCTTTATAAATGCAAACTTACCACCTAATATACGTGTTAAGCGAGAAAATTTAATGGTTTCTGCACTTATTCCAGGACCAAAAGCACCAAAAAACTTTAACTCTTTTCTACAGCCACTAATCGATGAATTAAAGCAGTTGCAAGGTTTTGCATACTTATTTTTATTATAATGTATTTAATATAATATATTAATTTTTATTTCATAATAACAATACAGAAGGTATTCAATGTATTGATGGTTTAACAGAAAATACCTTTACACTCCATGCACACATTTTAAGTATTTCTGGTGATATCCCAGCACTTTCCAAAGTAATGTATACAACAGGACATAATTCATATAAAGCATGCCGATTTTGCTCTATTCGTGGAATATATTGTCAAGGAAATCGACATGTATATTTTCCACTTAAACCTCCAATGAATATGTCAGGATGTCAGTATAATTCTGAAAACCTTCCGCTGAGAACACATGAAGATTATATACGTGATGTTACTGTTGTAAAAAATGCATCTGGATCATCACGTAAACGTAAAATACAAGATCGAGGTACATTTATTTTAAATACATTTAGCAAATTCATATAAACAATTCTTACTTGTTTATATTTACAGGGGTAAATGGCCGCAGCATCTTATTTGAATTAAACTCAATTAGATTTCCTGTATCTTTTCCTGTTGATATTATGCATGGGTTGTTTGAAAATGTTGCACCAGCAATGCTTCGGCATTGGTCTGGCATTTTTTTCAAAGATGATCAAGACTTTGATTCTAATTATATCATTCCTAATAAAGATTGGACAGAAATAGGAAAAACAATGGAAAAAAATCGAAAAAATATGCCATTTGATTTTGGTCGTCCACCTATTAATATTCAGCAACATTCAGCTGGATTTAAGGCAGAAGACTGGATGAATTGGGTGGTATTATATTCACTTCCACTTTTACAAAGCTATCTTCCAGAAAGGTAATGTTTTAATTTGTAAGTGATAAAAGCACATTATTTTTTGATGTTATTTAATAGATAGATTTTGCTAAATTTATTTAGGCATTTAAATGGATGGGCAAAATTCGTACATGCAACAAAGCTTTGCCTTAAACATATTATCAGTATGGAAGAATTAACAGAAATTAGAAGGTTATTTTGTGAATTTATCACGTATTATGAAAAGTACTGTATGCTTTCATATCCATTTATCCGTAACTTTGACATTAAATTATATATTTAACATTTAATAGAGAATATATTCAGAATAATTCTGCACAACTTCCAGCAGCGCTCATTTCCTACCATTATCTATTACATATTGCTGATTCAATATATAATACTGGGCCTGCATGGGCAACCTGGCAGTATCCCATGGAAAGGCTATGTGGAATGCTATTGCCTTTGGTTCGTTCTACACAACATCCTTATACAAACCTCCAAAATCAAATTACAATGTGGACCCAGTTTTCACATCTTCAATATAAACCTAATATATATCAAAGGCTCATTAGTAAAAATTCAAAAAAAACATTAAATTACTCAGAAAACAATTATTTTACTACTGACGGTGCTGAAGAAGTGCTATATTCACTATCACGCAAATATTGCATGAATAGAACTGAGATCCAGCGCTTAAGAGCCTATTATGTGACAGCATTAAACAGAAATGCAAATCAACTTTCAGTAAGCACATTTCCTACTGTTTAAATTTTATTCTAAAAAAACCTTTAATCTTCTAATATATTTCATTTAAGTTAATTACAAATTCCATTCAAAAATATGGAAAACTTCAAACCAAAAATGATTTAACAATTAATTCAAAATTGTCAAATCGCAAGGGTGATGTGGCACGCACAAATTACTGCATTGCTGTATGTGTATATATATCATCATTTTTAATACTTTTAATATTTTAATATTACTAATTTTCTTTATTTAGGCGAAGCTTCTAGTTGACCGAAATGCACATCGCCCAAATGCACCTGTTATTTTGGAAGAGCGTGAATTCTTTGGAGAAGTACAATATTTTTTTTCGCATCAATACAACAGTGACTGGTCTATGCTAGCATATGTGCAATGGGTACGAAATCCTCATCCTTCTGGACATGGGCCATTAAAGTTTCGAGATCATGGTGCTTTTGAAGTAATTAATGTAAGTGCAATTTGTAGAAATGTCGGATTTCTTAAGATGTCAAACAATGAGTTTTACATTATTGACCGAGAAAATCAGATTAAATTTCGATAATTTTTTATGAAATTTGCATATTTTATTGTGTTTGTAATAATATATATGTTTGTAATTTACATATTTTCAATATATATTTGTAATAAGTAGGTTGACAGTTATTTAATAATATGTAATCTTAAATCCGTTTAAATTCCATTTTTCATTAATTATGTAAAAAATTGCTTGATAAATTTTTAGTTATTTAATAATGAAATTTTGGATCCGTTTAAAATCCATTTCTACAAATAAAATCACGGATTATTTTCTCAACAGTTGCGGCACACTGAACATTTACGGATTTACGAGCATAATTATGGATATATAACGGAAATATTCTGGAATGTATTTTTTACAGGGAAGGATATTTTCTGAGTACAACAAATTCGCCTTCCAACGTTAAACTCACCCGCAATTGAGGGAACGTCACACATGAAAGATGAACATATTGATTTCTAACGCAATAATAATTTCAAAGAGCAACTTGTTGATTTTATTTTCATGAAAAATAATATCTAAAAAAACTAATTAATTTGTTTTTATAAAGTATAAGCAAAGAAAGAAAATATACAAATCAATGTACCAGAACCAGAATTGCTACTGAATGGCTCATGCTAAGGAAGAAGGATGATTACAGTATTATATAAATAGGCAATTTAATTAATACATAAAAAGCAAAATAATAATAATCATTTAAAACTTCTCTTATTATATCTTCAATTCTAAATTTAACAATTAATAATTTTTAAAGAAAGTAATGTTCAGCTTATAAAAAAATATTAATATCATATTTGTTTAACAAATAAGTAAAATATTATGTCTGACAATTCTGACATGCATAATTGATATATAATAAAAAAAAATGAAAAACAGTAACAAAAAAGAAGTAAGAGTACATGCAATGGTTTCACTTTCATATATAGATTTGCCTCTCAAAGTACCAATCAGACATGAGCGGTCAATGGCTAATTGTTTTTACAATTACGTCTTTTCCCGTGTTTTGAATAATTATATTTAATTAAACAAATATATTTTTATATTCAATTCATGAATTTTACGATCATTTTTTACCAAAAAAAAAAGAGGTCAAAAAGAGTTTCTTAAAATAAAGTATTTTATTTTTGGATAAATGGGATAAAATAGGATAAAAATATAAGTAGGATAAGTAAGATAATGAACACATGATGTATGTTTAATCACGTGATATGTAAAGATAATACTATACTGCCCCGGTGGTAAGGTGCAAACCAAACAAGCTCCCTAGAACCTTATAGTCTATACGTTTTAATTAGATGAACTTCCCAACTTCATTATTTTTTGCCAATCTTCTTCTCATAATCAATTAAAGCTTTAAAATAACTATTTGAACCATGACGATGCCTAAAAATACCTAAAGGTTTACTCTTCTTTTTTTTACAATAATTTTTACAATAAGATTTAAGACGATTCACATGTTCACCAATATTATCATCTTTATCACTTTCATTACTAAAGAATTCTTTGATAGAAGTTGGATCATGATCATTACCATAAAATGTAACTTTATCACCAACTTGAGCGTAATTCATTAATACATTATAATGATAACCATATTTCCTCATTCTTTTATTACAAGCTCTATATGGCATTTTTGGTACAATATCATCATTTAATACTATACGCCATAATGGTTTTGCCAAATTTCTAGGATCATTTATTAAAGCAGCAAGTTGTGTAGAAAAATTAATATCACCAACAGCAGGACTTGCAAATGTAATAGCACCTTGAAGTTCCCAAGATTCATGAGTATAATTAATATTTAATAATCTTGCATAGAATAAAGTTGCAAGTGCTCCACCAAGAGAATGACCAGTTATCCATAAATTTACTTTTCTACCATTCATATTTTTAAGAGTTGTAGCTTTACAATTAATTGATTCAATAATTTTTTGACAAGGATAATTTTTACCAGCACTTTCTTCATCTAGTGGAAATAAATAATTATAAAATCCTCTATGAACTTGACCAAAAAGATAATTTCTAGCATCCACACATTGAAATGTAAGATTACCTAACCATTCAGCAAAATTAGTTGGAGTTGTCCCTTTAAAAGCTATAATAATAAAATTTTCTTTATCAGACCAGAACATTCCACAAAATGATCCACCATCATCAGTATTTAATTCGGAGATTGAAGTAAAATTAAGATCAAATTCTTTTATTTGTTCTTTGATTTTTTTTTCATCTTTACCAATCATATCACGAATTTTATGTTCTATATCTTCAAATGTGTAAATATTATCATCATTATAATTATCGTTGTTGTTGTTGTTGTTGTCATTGTTGTTGTCCCTTTCATTTTCTTTCTTTTCACAATCGCATAATTTTTTATAAACCCTTTTATAAACTTTTTGATCCCCGATATCGTCATATTTTAATTTACTTTTTAATTTTCTAACACATCCTTGAATTTTATAAGTGATTTTTGATTCACGTTTATAAACCAAAGTAGAGAAAAAAAGTAATGACTTGAGTTTACTAACTCTTTTTAAATTTTCTCCTTTTTAAAAGAAAAAAAAAAGAAAAAATTTTAAATAAGTACGTGAAAAAAAAAATTTGATTATATATAAATTATACAGTATAAATTAAAATTTTATAATTACTTTCACCTAATGCTCCAATTTTCTTTTCATCTTTAAAAAATAAAAAATGAAAAAGTCAATAAGACAATAACGGTAAAATATACAAACAATAATGCATATACGGTAAAGTCATACCTTTGATAATTGTTCTTTTTGTATTATTTCCTAATAATTTCATTCCTTCCATTAAATCATTTATTAAATTACGATTGGGAGGCGGAATCTTCGCTATTTTCCCCCAAACGTTAATAACAGGTTCACGTTCAGATTTAGTGCAATAACGATAAAATGTATAAATCGGAATAAAAATTCCTGCCACGAATAATAAACTAATAGAAGTCGCAAAAAATATAACCAAAAGAAAAAAGTTGACAGGATGTCTAAATAATATGGTCCAATCCATATATATAGCGACAAATAAATATTTGGTGACACGATTAATGTAAAGAAAATATGCCAATTGACCACGTGAACGAAAAATAGAAGTTGCTCGACCAAGAGATAAACCTGGATGATGACCATAAAATAAATCTTCAATTCTATGATCCATTAGAATTTCATCATCTGAAAAATCAACCTTTTTATCTTCAGAATTGATTGCCTCTTTTTTAGAACACAAAGATAGAACGCAAAGAAGATAGAATACAAAGATAGAATGTGATTAAGATTGATTAAGATTAAGATTAATTAAGTCAAACTTTTTTCTTACAACTTTTTATAATAATTCTTAATTTACCTTCAATAATTTCAGACATATTTTACAATAGATTTAATAAATAGTTTTATATTATATAATATTTGTATATAACAGATAATTTATTAATCTATTTTTTTTTTTTAAAAAAAAAAAAAAGAAACACGAAATTAACGGTGGATAAATTTTGTCACTTTAAAAGGATTTTTTCAGGACATTGTACAGTATATTGTTGCAAATTTCTAAATATAGTACTTATTAAACTCAGAGCGTTATTTTAATCTCTTTGTTTCATAATCAGCAAAATTATAATGTTTATCATTTTCTAATTTGATAAGTAAAATATGTAAAATATGTATGCAATTTACATGTTAATATTTCCTGTGTATTTCGTAATGTAATATACTGCAAAAGGAAATTTGATTACTTCTAAATTAGGTAAATTGTAAACTACAAATAATATACATTATCACAAATAAAAAGTTGCGTTATCTTGGACATTTTCGAACATTCATTTCTCTCCCCCTTTTTTAAGTTTTAACAAAAATTATTATATATCAAAATATGAACTTCAAATTTAAATTTCTTTATCTCTCAATACTTCTCTTATTTATACCATCAACGTTTGCTCTTAAAGATGATGGAAGCAACAACATTGAAGCCGTTTTTGATGCGGCTACAGGGTTTATGATACCTCTTATCATATATTTATCCTTAAATCATGGAATGAATAATTATTTATTTTGTTCATTCATCATATTAGCAATGGCTGATATGGGATTAACAATATTTTTCACTTATTTTTGTTATTTTCATTATAATCATGATCCATTTTTTTGGATTTATTTTATATTTATTGAACCAATTTATATTATAAATTATCTTATTATATTAAAAGAAAGTGATCATTTTAATAAATTTTTATTAAGAAATAATAAGAAGGAAGTAAACAAAATGGAAAAGTGGATTAAAAAAAAATTAATTCCTTTAACATTATTTATTATAAATTTGATATTTTTGGGTATCGCTATACGTAAAGATTATGTTGATTTTATAAATGGACTTTTTATAATTATACCAAGTATAATTTTATTCTTGGTTTATCTTGGTTTCATCATTTTTTATAATGAAACTAAAAATGAGAATATGGATAATGAGAATAAGAGTAATGGACTTGCTCATCTTCGTTTTTTTGTTGAATTTATGTGTTCAATTATTTTTGTTATGATATCAGGTCCTTCTGTTTTATGGATAAAATGTTATTTATCTATTACTATAGTTGAAATGTCTTTATATTTAGAAAGAGCAAAACCTGATTCAATATTACGTTATAGATTAAATAATCTTGATCAATGTAAAGATTTATTATTAAATCTTCATAATGATGATAATGAAAAAAGTAAAAATTTTGTAATAGAATTACATGTAGTAGATCATAAAAAAGAAGAAAATGATATTTCCTTAAATATTATTGACGTTCAAAAAATGTAATGCATTGTTTGTGGGAGTAAATAAAATAAATTTTTCTTGATTTCTCAATTTCTCTTTCTCAAATTTTTGGCATCATATAATCATATCATATCATATCTGATATAGCGATATCATATATATCAAATATTCATATCATACATATCATATAGTCAAGATCCTACAACTGTATCGTATGTATCGTACGTGCATTTCGTATGTTTGTCGTACTGATTATCTTTTTTATCATTTTTCGTTATTTATTATGCATTACGCTATTTCAATTCCGATTGCTGATCTCTATTGTGTATTAGTCAGAGCTTTCTAATAAATCAAATAACATATAAGAGTAATACAAATAACAAAAATATCACTATTATCTTTTTCCAAGAATCGATTCATCCTTCTTACGTATTTCTTGTATTACTAAAATGCTCTTATTATTGAAAATATTAAATCAAATGAATTAAGAATTGATGAAAAAGTACTTTTAGCAAAAATCATCATCGTTGATCAATTTAAGTATTGTAACATTTTTTTTAATTGGTGACTGATATATTTGTTTCAAATCATTATTAAATTTCTTGATAAGGGTTAAACCTATTCTAAAACTTGGAAAATATTGTTATCTGTTATGTTATTTTGGAAATTATAACTAAACTTAAATGTTACACGAGGGATTTGCAGTAAAATGGCGCCAAATTTATTTTACATTGAACTCTCATTATTCGGGTCGATTGACAAAAATACGAAGTCAATCAAATAATTGATGAACATATTTTTAAAATTGATTATTAATGAACAAAATAACTTTTATAATAGGATTTCGACAATTAAAAATTTTTAATCAGATAGAATTAAGTTGTATTAAAGCGTGATTTATTTCGTGGTGATACCATAGTCATAAAAAAAAATTATAAAAATCTTAAAAATTCGATATACATTCATTTATTTATAGAATTCAATTACAAACCAAAATTGATCAATCCAAACTCATGAGTCATCCATGTATCCGCATACACCCGAGAAATTATTTAATTAAATCCATTTACATATTATGGTACCAATTCGGCTAATACTTAATGTATTTTACCAATACGTGAAAATTCAATGTGCGAGCTAATAAATATTCGTACCAATGCTCTTATACATTACTACTGAATATAATGAATGATACTTGAAGGTCGTATATTGTACGATATGAATTTTGTACAATTTTTCATATATTTCGTACATTAGTATAATTTTTCCCTTAATAAAAAAATGTTAGAAAATTAGAGATCTACATCCCTATAAAAATTTCTGGGACAAACTCCGATAAATGATCATTTATCTGGTTATTCCAGCGAAATAACTCCGACATGTGATCAATTTTCTAAAGGTAAAATTTATTATAGGGCATATACCGATATTTTATTGTAAACTAACGTTTATAATAATAAAATTTAAATTTTGTTATAAAAATCACTAATATATAACTTGTATAACGTAGCCTGCTATACTGTATAATGTAACTTATTGTACTATATACATTATTTCTGGTACATTACTACAGCCAACCCACCTGGAATAATTAATTACACCTCCATGCCCCATATATAAAAGAGTTTTATTGAGATTTCTTATAATAAATATTCAAAGAAATGTAGAATAAACCTTGTCATAACTATTGAACTCAATCTCTTTACATTTTATGTTAAACGAAATGAAAATACATACTATTAATTTCAGTATACAGTATGTCTTTGATAAGCTTCATATTTGGTGTAGCTATAAGCTCATAAAAACTCGGGTTAGGAGCGATACTACATGAGTGTAAAAATGTCGCGGATCCTGATGTGGAAGCAGGTAACTTCAAAGTAGGGATATGTTAGTCTTTCTGGATCAGATCGTGATAGAGTTGTTTGCCAATGAATAAAAATCATCATTTTTTTTGTTAACAGAAACTTGTTATTGTGTATAAATAAAGCTAAGCTCGTACAGGATAAATTATTATATTTGTTACGACGAATATTTTCTGAATTTCAACAACTTCGCCTCCCCTTCTTGTACTATATTTGCATGTTCTAATAAATACAACAACTTTCTTTTATCTTTTCCCTTGGCTGTTACAAACATTTTTTTACAAGAAAAAGGTAAAAGAATTGAATTCTTGTTTAAATTTCGGAAGTATATTAAATGAAAATTTTAATTTGTGCCTTGCCTTGTGATTGATTTTTTTTTCAAGCAAGCTCTAAATCAAAATTAAAAAGTTATGGGTCAGATATACCATTCATAGGTCTTATATTTTTCATAGATTCAAATGGCTTAATTATATATAGAAAACCTATAACGAAATCAATGATTTAAAATATTTAGATGGCAAGAGAACATTTGCTCCATATTGCCATATTCATATTTAATACGTTCTTTCTCATCAATAAATGAATAAGTTCATAAGGTTAAGCATATAAATTTTTAGATTCTTATAAATCACACATTATTATTAGCAACCATAATACTGTATATTATTCATTGTAATAATATCCTTCTTTAATATTTAATTTGCTTAGATTGTCACCCTTTTCAAGGGTCCAAGCGCTACTCATTAAGTGCTAATATGCTCAACTTAAATTTCTTTCTGAATTTCCTTGCTTATTATTATATACACTTCTTGCTCATATTTCAGGATTTATTTTTGATGCATTTAAATTTAAATTTAAAGAAGCAAGGATATATGGTTGGGAATAATAACGAATTCATATACAAGAATTTGATTAATAAAGTAATAAAAGCTAATAAAATAATAGGAAAATAAATAATAATAAAATATCTTTAATTTTTGGTTCTTCTTATTGCCCCAATGTTTCAAATGTTTTTTCAGATTCTTCAAGAGAAGATACAATAGTAATATTTAAAATTAAATTGAGAACTTCAGAAGAGAATCATTTGATATGTGCATTATTGATTATGAAAAAAGATGATTTCCTGTCACGTACGATTAGGCGTCACTAATTTGTATAAGCGCCTCCATAATTATTTCAACGTGTGTTCATGATGCTAATCATTAATTTATTAGTAAGATTTATAGATAATCACGTGCGAAAAATTATGATTTGTGCGACGGGATTAATATATATACAACATCCCTTCATAATTCTCGTTTTTGATATTTGGGGTTTCTTTCATTTTTAGCGGGTTCGATTTTGATAATATATTTATTAAGTTATCAAAATATTCTAGGATTATTAGTATGTGTAAATAATATCTCATAACATTAAAGAATTGATACCATAACCCTTAGATCTAAGAATTTTTGGATGAAGTTACTAACTGTCATTCTAATAATAAAACCAGCGTTCTATATAAAGCTAATCGCACATAAAACATTTTAACAACCTCAACTCGAGAGATCACAAAAAGGCAGGGCGAGATATTTTTCGCTATTATTTATAACCCGCTAAAGAAAAGTGTTTAATAAAAAAATTGAGTATATACTAATTATATTTACGAATGATTATGAAAAAAAATAAAGATTAATGGTGGGTTACACACATTATTATATAAGCTGGATTGCTGGAGCTAATAGAGCTAATACACATACGCGTAATGGGATATGGCGCGTAAACAATCTTACATCATACTAATCACAATGACTCATAGTATATGATTTTATTATAAGTTAGACTTTTTAGTTTTTGAAAAATTTTTTTCTCCTTTTACTTTTAGTTTTCGAAAATTTTTTTTCTCCCTTTAATAAACCAAAAAAATTTTTTTTTTCTCCCTTTAATATTTATTATTACCTTTAAATATTATTTCAATATTTGCTATTTCTCTTTTTCTTTAATATCCAAATATCAACATTTTCTAGCACCTTTAAACAACCGCCTTCCACCAACGCTTGTTACAGCATAACTCTCATAATTAAGTATTTTTCGCGTTGCTTTGTCACCTATCGCGTGTTTTTTTATTTTACAACTACTGTCTAATATATTTATTCCTTTATCATTTTCTTAAACTTATATTTAATACATACAGTATAAGACTTTCGTTCTTATCCTTTCTGCAAAAGTCTTGGAAGATTTCTACTGACTTAAATGTATTTTGGTAAGTGGAAATGACTAAGCTGGGATGTATAAGGGATTTGTGCACCTAGAGTGCTTCGGTTATCCTCCTCTTCTAGAAGTTTGGTTACCTTAAATGAGAAAATAATTTCTCAAGCTATGTCGCAGACTTCTGTATGTGGGGCCCTTCCCTTTGGTGGTGGGTCTCATGTCTTATTATCAATGTGACAGTACCTCTGCACGAGTTTGATCACTCACGATATATCGTTAATGTCAGTTGATAGTAGGCATGGGGGCTTGAATCTGTCTTTTCTACAAAGCTTGCTTAGAGTACTCGAGTCTTCTAATATATTTTTACCATATATTTTATTTTTTAGATTACTAATATCTAACAAGAAAATTTTGGAAATCTTCTTAAAATTCGTTGTTGTTATCACACTTTCATTCTAATCCTTTCTGCAAAAGTTTAGAAGATTTTATTGGGCTTTTTTGTTTATTATGGTAAGTGGAAATGACTAAGCTGGGATGTATAAGGGATTTGTGCACCTAGAGTGCTTCGGTTATCCTCCTCTTCTAGAAGTCTGGTTACCTTAAATGAGAAAAATGATAGAAAAATAATTTCTCAAGCTATGTCGCAGACTTCTGTATGTGGGGCCCTTCCCTTTGGTGGTGGGTCTCATGTCTTATTATCAATGTGACAGTACCTCTGCACGAGTTTGATCACTCACGATATATCGTTAATGTCAGTTGATAGTAGGCATGGGGGCTTGAATCTGTCTTTTCTACAAAGCTTACTTAGAGTACTCGAGTCTTCTAATATAATTTTACCATATATTTATTTTTTAGATTACCTTAGGCTTGATCTAACAAGAAAATTTTGAAAATCTTAAAATTTATTGCTTTTATCACTTATTTGCAAAATAATAATCTTCCACATCATGTTTTGTAATTTTATAGTAAATTGTTTGTTAACTATGATCTTTTTTAAAGAATATCGATAGAAGGGTGACTTGTTTAATAATAAATAGATTATTCAGTTATAAATTACTTTTTTATAGCTATGCTCAAGAGTGATTTACGCAAGATTTACTATAAATGAGGCAAATTAAAAGATAATTTTATGATGGAAGACTTTTGAGTCTCACTGTAGAAGGTATAATTCGGAAATATATCTAGGCAATCTTGGTATTTTAAAAACCTTGTACTGTAAGTACAATATTCACCTTGTAATATATTCAAGGATACCTGAGGTACATGGTTTTCGGATTTTATTTGCCGATCATTTAACGCTCAATAATTAACTTAAATTACTCATAATTATAATGGTTGAAGAAAAATTTATATATAAAGGTTAAATAAAATAAATTTATAAAAATTTGGAATTTTCAATTGGAGAATTATATATTATGTGATAAAATCAAATAATCGCACTAAAAAATTGATGACAGAAGATGGCAACTTTGCATAGATATTCTTTGCAATCTATGAAAAAAATAATACAATATTTGCGCTCATAATACAGGTTTTTATTCAATAATTAAAAGGTTGTTATTTGTGAAAGTTGGCCAATAATGATTTGATTTGGATAAAAATCTATATAATTAAAATTTGGTATAAAATAAGATTTTCAGTAATATTTTGATATATGAAATTTTCAATGAAGTAAAAAAAAAAATATATCGACTTATGATCGGCAAAATATGGTCTAATAGTTGACTTCATATTGTTACGTAATCGATTTATTCGAAATTCGATTGCTGAATAATTTTCAGAACGTACCTCCTTAAAAAAATTATAACCCTTTCTTTTCTTTATTTGGTTTCTTTCAATTTTAAATTCTAAAACCATATTTTCAGTTATTATTTGTTTGATTGGTTCGATGGTCGGCAACTTACGACAATACACTTGAAATGGAAATTCTTAAAGCTTGTTCGACATGAAACTGTCGTACTGGCTAAATTATTATGTAAACATAAGCTAAGCTAGTACAGGAGATAAATTGTTACTTTGCGTCTTGATTTTAAAGATTATTTGATTATTTCAGGAAGAGAGAGAATTGACCGAATAATAAAGTAGACCTGAAATATATACTATATATATCGCTAAGCTTAAGAAGTAAAAATTTCAAAATATAATTGACCTAACTACGAGATCAAGATGGTTAAGCTCTATTAATTTGAAGGCAATGCAGAGTGATGATTTAGGTTAATTATTGTTTATTTCCTGCAAAACGTATGGCAGTTTGTGTACAAAAAATTTTTTTCAAATACTTGCATTTCGTTTTCTCGATACGCTAACTATAAGTAGTCTGATTTAATTTTTTTATATATTTCAGACTAGAAGTATTGTTTGTTCTCAGTATTAAATCAAAATAACGTGGCTTAAAAGAACTCTAAAGTTATGAAATATTTTAGTTCGTCAATATTTCAAGGTATCATCATCGGTTGGGTTACTTCCGTCTTGATATTTATATTGTTGGTCTTTGTAGGAATGTGGGGCAAAATAACGGGACTCGATGTCATGTGGGACTTGCGTGTTGGTTTGTTCTTGACGGCTGTAACAGTGACCACAAAAGTAATATCTTTTATTGCATGTTTCATGATGCCGGCTATTTTAACAGGAATGCTTGTCTTAAACAAAATACCAACGCTGAACGGGTCTGGTGCAATGATTAGTCAATTAATAGAAGCATCTATAACTCTTAGTCCATTGTGTACTTTAAAAGCCTGCTTTAATTCTGGTAAAACTCGTAAACTTGCTATCGTTATTGCCTCAGTCCTGGTTTGGCAATATACGGTATCACTAGCTGATTTGTATCTCCATATAACCGCTGTTGGAAGGTCTCAACAACTGCCAGGATTAATGATCCCAAGTGCGAGATCATTAGATATAGCAAAAAATTGTTCCTTTTCATACATTACTACTTGTTTTAGAAATAAACGTGGACTGAGCAATCCAGGTAAAGCATTGAAAATATATCGAAATACGAGTGATACATTTCAGATTTGGAATAATGATGATGGTGTTTACCTTTTGCAAGCTCCGCCTTTAAATACAAGCTATGCATATTCAGGATCTGGTATCTTATTAAAACCTTTCTGTGAACCAGTCAGTACATTATGCAATTTAAAAGCCAGATATGGTGCTATGACAAATTATTCTTGCCCTGAGTCACTGTGGTACGCCTCAGGGAATACACAAACTGTACTATCCGATGTAAATGTTACTAGTGACGTTTTTGAACCGATTGATAACTTATACATAGCATTAAATCCTATACATGCAATTGTCACTATACGATATAATACTGAACGTATAGAATATGATTCTGAGTTCGTAGGCGAAGTTCATGGTGGCCATTCAATCTTGCTACACTGCCAAATCTTAACCTCAATAACTGAAAATGTTGTCACTCTTGGATCGTTAAAATCATTACCATTAGGAAATTTGACAACTTCGCAACAATTTGCCCTTGGTGTTGCATCATCGGAAGGTGAATTGCTTAGGAGAACGGTAGATGATGTTGAAGATGTAGCACATAGTACTGGTAATAGCACGTTATTTGCCAATGCATTTGCACAACAATGGGCTCAAGCGACAATTGCCGGATTTAGTAGTGGTGCAGTACAAGCAAATGGGGAAGGAGATGGGGAAGGAGATGGGGAAGGGTATGGTTATGTGCTTGAAGTGATTAAGGAACAAACTTTTGCTCCACTTTCAGCTGTTTTGATTTATGCCATTGTCATCACATTCCCACTATTCATCTTTTCCTGTGTATGTGTGTTTTCTCTGCAAAATGATACTATCTGGATACTTGTTGAATTCATTTGTACACCACAGAGACTGCTTTACCAAGCCTTATTTAAGGAGCATCATATGGATGATGCTTGTTCAAAAAGTTTATCAGATCAAGCAATGAGAATTAAAGAGGTGGAATGTGATGTCAAATTAGAAGAGGGACATTTAAAATTGACGACAAAAATACAATAAATTAAAACAACAAAAATGTATTTTATAATTTATAATAATGGTTGATTAGTACTTTAATATTTTGATAGACGGAAAAACAATAATTCTAGAAATTTCAGACATTCCATAATATAATAATAATATCCGGATAATGATCACGTTAAAAAGCGTATTTTTAATACTCTTCAATGGCGATAATTATCATTATTTATTATAAAATTCAGTTAAGTATTAAATTAATGAAAGCAGCTATATAACCCACCGTAAAAATTGCCTTACAATTATATTATAATGGTTTTATGAGGAAACGTTCAATAGTTGTTGATCTCATCGTTTATTTGTTTAAATCATAAATAATTAAATGAAATTAATAAAGACTAATGGAATAAAATAAAAGATCCAGAATAATCATTATGGCCTCTTTCACTTGATCACGTGATTCATCCACATACCAACTCCTCAATATCTTTTGGGCGCCCTGCCCTCCACTGCCCTCCATCTTCCCAAAACCTTTGTTTCTGATAAGTGTTATTGAATTCATAGGTAATTGGCACAGCTGAACGTATTCATCACATCAAAGAGACATTTGGATTCATGCTTCGTTCTTAAAAAAGTGAAACCCACTGTATGACTTCACGATCTTTGTTAATATGCTTTACAAAAAATCCTTAATAAAGCGGTTTATTTCCACTCAGTTTGGCTTCAGGATTGGAATAAATTCCTACCAAAATCGAATTAAAATCGAATCTCAATAAATATTTAGCAGCAAAATAATTTTGCTATTTCTATTATTAAGTTCTTGGCGAGATATTACCAGATATGAAACTTAGGTCAAATTACAATAACTTGACACAAAAATTTCCTTTAGGAAAATTACGATGTATAAAATAAGAGGATGATGGAGTAACATCACATGATTCCCTATAAAAAAAGAATGTCCGGAAATTGTAGCTAAAAACGTCCGGAAAATGTTTATTTGTCTGGAATATGTCCGGAATATTGCAATATTCCGGATGTTGGAAAATTTCCATTTTCCAGAAAATGTCCAGAAAATGTCTAGGAGGGTTCAGACCCAGCATCCAGAAAGTGTCCGGAATATTACAATTTTCTGGACGTTTTCCGGACACACTGACATTTTCCGGATATTTTTAGCTACAATTTCCGGACATTTTTTTTTTACAGGAATTGTCCGTATTTTATTCGATTCAGACTCGATTAATCGAAATCGAAAATCAAATCGTCAAATTTGGATCTTAGAAACGGTAAGCAGTTGATATCATCATATAAATCGGATCGTAGAATAGGGTTCAATACAAAAACCATAATATGATGCGAGTAGGCCATGATATATAATAAATATTTTATTTGGTAATTCTCTGCCTGTTAAATCAAAAAGGTTGCCATTCAGCAAAGAACGATTTAGCAATAACATGATAAGAGATTTTTATTTCTAAAATAATATACATCAATCACATCCGCACCCATCGCGTCCATCATCACCACCACATCCATCATCTTCTTCACCTCCAAATTCCACTACCATCTCTAGCTACCACCACCACCTCAACTATCATATCTACCACTTCTACCATCAAATCCATCAAAAGCAACATCTAGTGCTCGAATCTGTTGGGTTCTGGCAATTAGCGACATTAAAATCAAGATTTGTCCGATTTCGTCATCATATCGACCTCGAGCTATACATAGAAAGGTCCTGGTTATTTGCTTAGAATGAGCCAAAATATGTAGATCGCTTCCATTTGTGGATAATGCCGACCAGAATTACATAGTGCCGGCCCTGAAGAAATACGTAGAGCTAATAGTAAATGTGTACTGATCTCCCCTGACCTGATATCCATCACCGTCTTTAATATCACATTCATTGCCAGAATTACTAACAGTTGTACATCCCCCACCGCATGAATAATTCTACGCACTTCCAAACGGGTACACTAGTAAAAAAAGTATTTTAGTTTCGACAGTCATTGAAAAAAAAAAGCCTAGAACATTTATGTTTGTAAAACAAATTCGAAAAATGTGACCTACTTGATTAAAATCAATGTGATTATTACTAACTCTTTTATTTGATATTCCAATTTCAGGTATCGACTGTGTAATAACAAAAGCTCAAAGTGGTATTGGAGATGGGAGTGATAATGGTGATGGGAAGGTCCTACTCATCTATCCCGCAATGACCTATCAAGAAATTATTCGGGCAAATTAAGTGAGTTTTTGATTAGCAGAAATCATCATTGGTTGATGGAAAGCGAGCAAAAATATATAATTAGGATAGACATGTGCCTTAACACTCATAAAAAATTTGTCAATCATTGTATTTATGAATTTTTTTCTTGACAATTGTTCACGCGCACGTGTGATCCTTTTATTTGGATTCCATGCTGACGAAATTTTAGGTTATGAAAGACCAGGACAAAACGTCACGATCGAAGTTACTGCCTAAAAAAAAGATGAAAATTTGCACAGTCGCCGTTCAGATTGTCTTTACTATCTGCAAACGCGAGTACAAGGTATGAGGAATTGTGAAGTATGAGGAATTGTGACAGATGTGGAAAAATGGTTCATGGAATGTACGCTAGACAGTAAAAGGAAACCATTGTTCAAGTTGTTGTTGTGTATGAAGATGTGGATATGAAGGACATGGCGGAAAAAAATTCTTGGTCATATTAACTGGCACAAAGGCCAGTAGAAACTTTGCAAAGTGAGAGGAATCGAGGGAATGAAAAAGGTAAAGTCATTGAGCAATCTTGCGGAGGAATAGATAGGCTAATTAGTTGAAACATAGTAACTTTATCATGTAACTCGTGTATTTATTTTTAACTAACACTGGTAAAAATCAATTTTGCGTTATCATACACATCTGCATAGCATTAGAAGTTAGTAAAAGTCTGTAAAACCAATAACTTGAAAATTATTACTATCTTTGGTATTTTTTTATTGCAGAGAATTCATTACATATTCATAAAATACAAGCTGATAAATTTTTTCGTATATAAGAACATACCTATTTGCTAAATGTACGTTGCCAATATAAATAATAAAATATTCAACCAGACAGGAAATGTATGTTTTTAATTTACTGTAAAAGGAGGATTACTTAGGAATTGTACGATATTGCATTTAAGCCTTCTTGCATAATTTTTTTTTATGAAAGTGTGAAATTACAGTAATCAACGATACCACATTTTTAATGCCTCAAAGAGTTTTTTTAATGGTTCTTCGTAATGCTTCATTTTGTTGGAAAATTGCATCTTTTCAAATCGCTCTCTTGCTTCTGCCAAAGTATTTTCTTGATCTTGAAATTCAACGTTACTTTCATTTTTCATTTTATACAACTTCTCGAAATCATAAATTGACATTTGAACTTCATCCAAGGTTATTTTTAACTGCGAAATATATTCTTCATCTTGGCTTCTAAAATTTACCTTTCCAGAAGCCGCCTTTACATCAAAAGCACCAATAACCTCGCCCAACCACGCACGTCGTTATTCGGTGCATTATACTTTCCTTTTACTTGAATAAAAAATTTTCTGATCCAATCTCTTAAACAGTAAATTTCTTTACTCTTTAATGAATCTATTACTTTTTTAGTAAGTTCATGAGTATCGACCATTACTTTATTCTGATCTTCTATAATTTCAGATATTCGGCCGAAGTTAGTGTCTAAATCTTGAATGCTTTCAGCACCACTATTACAAGTGTTGACTATTATTCTTTGTGTAAGCTTCTTATATTCTTCATTTTCAGTCTTTAAACGTTTATTAATGACTGAGGTTCTTTCCTTCAAATCATTAAAATTTTCACTGTAACTATCAGCGGTAGTAGACAGTTTAATTTTTACTTGTTATAAGTTTGTGTATCAGGTAAATAAATGTAAAAATCCGTAAACAATTAATAAGCAAATATTAGTTTGAAGAAAGAGTACAATTATAATAAGCAAATTTTAGTTTGGAGAAAGAGTAAAGGGTTTGAGGCTTTCATGTCTTAAGTCCATAATAACATGTAAATTCAAAGATTTGTAGCTATTGTAATAGGCATCCTTCAAAATAGAATTCCGCGAAAAGAAAGCTTAATACACGGGTTACCACAACTGTGTCGTATATAACAAAATCACATGCTCAAAACTCACATGTCTAAGCTTTCTTTGATGGCTATGTATGAAATGAACTTATTTATATTCTTGTCACATGTATAAGCCACACTTTGAGATAGTCAGATACTGAATGTACCATCTACTCTAAGGCAAATGTCACTTGTTTAAAATTGTATAATTTACTTATTTTGCATTAATACTTATCAAATAATTTAAATTATGTTTTAATTATATTGGATAAATTAAGACCCGATACTGCGCCGCCGTATTTTTAAAATTATATGTTTAATTGGAAATTTATAAAAATTTATAAAATTTATTTCTTTTTTTAAAAAAAAACTTTGGGATTTTGACCGTCAAGAATTTTAACTGTCGGGATTTGTGACTATCAGGATTTTATTTCAATCGGGATTTGGGTTTATCGGGATTTTGGTGTCAGAATTGTAGACTGTCTATGCTGAACATTTAAGATGATTACAAGATGATTACAAATTACATGAATTGATTTAGATATCGATCTTTCATCCCTGATGCATTTGATGCAATTGCGTTACTAATAATCTGAAGTACAAAAAGGGACTAAATTACAACGCGTTCTTTTCACCTTTAATAACGCGTTCTTCACTTTGTCATAATTCATACGACCTTTTGCGCAGTAACTAATAACTGAGAGAAAGTTCAGATATGGGAAAAAGCAAGGTCAGAACTAGAAAGAATAAAAGAAGTACTAAAATGACCAATATAACTGAAGAAGTAGAAAGGATAGAACTTGATTTACAAGACTTGACTTTAGGAATACCATTGAGAGAAATGAAAACGAACCAAAAATTCAAGCTAATGATAGTATAGAATTAGATGAAATTGCAGATAATATAGATTCTAATAATACAAATATTACAGAATCAGATAATGTGGAAACAGATACCAGACAAGATGATAAGACAATTCAATTAACTAATAATTGAAATAGATTAATCAATGATTCGTAACTCAAATTATTTATAAACATATGATTATCTCAAATAGGTGTGATCAGAATTACAAGTCATTTCCGGGTGGTAATACCAGCTTTATTATAATCTCCTTATAATTAAATTTTAATTAGTTAATTATTATCTAATTAGTTGTATTTTTTTCATTGTAAATAATTTTTTACTTAGTACTTAAGGTTCACGTTGGTATACTTATGTTAAAGTAATTAGATAATTCGACAATGTTTATTACTAATGCAAAGCCATGTATTCACGAAATTACATTAATTATATTACACAATACGTTACTCGTAAAA